TTACTGAATTTTTCAAGATTAATATTGTGATAAAAAATAGAATCCTTGAAACATTCTGATATCTTTTCAATGTTTAAAAACGGATGCTAAAAAATGTAAAAGAACTTCATCAGTCACTGTAATTTTTTTTGAAAAATTTATCCCAATTCAAGCATCCAATTGATCTTTCTGTCATTGTACTTATGCATTGATAAAGTTGATTTAATGAATCCGAAGAATAATCATTATGCTTGACTAGTTGAGTTAGTTGATACAGACTGTCGTCAGCCATTTTAAAAAAATGAATAAAATTGTATAGTAAATTATATTTGTGAAATTTGTGACGCTACATTCAATCTAAGACCAATATCTCAAAGAATTCCTCATTTAAGTATTACTTTCATTGTTTTTTAAAAAACATCTTTGCTTATTTGTTCACTTTTTGACATTTATTATATGCTTTTTATCATATTTCCGATGATATGAATATATATTCTATATAAGAATGACGCTACATTCAATCTAAGACCAATATCTCAAAGAATTACTCATTTAAGTATTACTTTTCATTTTTGATTCAATTTTCGAACGGTTTTCGAAATTTTGCATCATTTCATTTTTTAATGGAAAATCATCTATATTTAATCAAAAAAGAGCAAACTTTACAGACGAAATAAAATATTTATCAGGGAACAATCTGATAAATACCAAAAATCAACATCGAGAGATGAAAAAACGAATATAATCAAACAAGTTCTTCAATATTTTAATATTAAATACGCCGAAAATGAATCTAAAGCTGTCAGAAGATATTTTAGTTATATTGCAGTTAAAAATATTCCCGCAGTTACTGGAAAATATCCTGATACAATTGTTCGCAAAGATATGCTTTATTCGCATGATCATACAAATATTATTAATTCAAATAATATTGAACGTTACTACCGTTGCATCGATCATTCTTGTCAAGCACGTTATTTAGTTAAAATTGAGAACAGTTCAGTTTCCGAAGATTTACAAAAGGAACATATACCCGAATGCAGACAATTTAAAAAGTTACAAAATGAAAAAAATGATCTTCATAAATCAATGACTCTGACAGAAATATACAATAAGGCAATGGCAAAATTTTCTGAAGACAACGGCACTTTTCAGCAGATTAAAAAATTTATGACAGAACTTGCTGTTGGTACTGATGAAAACCCATTAATTAAAGATTCATTGGTCAGGGAAGTTTATAATAAGTCCAGAAAATTTTCTGTTGGAGAAAAAATTACAGACGATGTGTTGTAAACAGAAATTCATCAAAAGTGACACCTCAGAAAAGCTAAAATATTGAATTTTTGGAACTTTTGATAAAGCACGTTTTTAAATATTAATTAAAGTAAATGTATATTTTGTAAAGATTCTTTTTAATAAAAAAATAGAATTTTGAAGAAGAACACAAAATCTTCTGAAAAATAATATCACATAAACTCATATTATTTTCTAATATATAACTATTTTATATAAAAATCAAATTCAATGATCTTAAAAGCGAAGGATAAACCTCAAAATTTACGAATATAATGAGTGGGAATATAATGCTTATCTATCATAAAACCATATGAAATATCAATTTTTGCTTTACGCCTAATTTTTGACGACAATTAGCAAAAAATGTTAAATGTTAACACTCAGTCCATTTGAATATGAAAAATAAAATTGACTTTGATTAAATGTTTTTATTTATCATGCAATTCTTCTTGCGACCAAAGATTTGAATAAAATTTCAAAAAATAAGATAGCTTAAAAAATAATATACGGTAGTGTTTACTAATAGATGAATAGTATATAAATTCTATTAAAATGGATTTGATCCAAAAAATATATAAAATTTGATCATAAATAAAATCGTTTTAAATTACTTCTTCATTTAAATTATAACAATTATTTTTGGTTTTATATTTTTTTGGATCAAATCCATTTTAATAGAATTTATATACTATTCATCTATTAGTAAACACTACCGTATATTATTTTTTAAGCTATCTTATTTTTTGAAATTTTATTCAAATCTTTGGTCGCAAGAAGAATTGCATGATAAATAAAAACATTTAATCAAAGTCAATTTTATTTTTCATATTCAAATGGACTGAGTGTTAACATTTAACATTTTTTGCTAATTGTCGTCAAAAATTAGGCGTAAAGCAAAAATTGATATTTCATATGGTTTTATGATAGATAAGCATTATATTCCCACTCATTATATTCGTAAATTTTGAGGTTTATCCTTCGCTTTTAAGATCATTGAATTTGATTTTTATATAAAATAGTTATATATTAAAAAATAATATGAGTTTATGTGATATTATTTTTCAGAAGATTTCATTCTATATGCCTATGAAAAGTATTCTCAAAACTAACTTTTTCCTAATTATAATTAAATCTAGAATATTGTATTATGCTTAGTATTATTTCATTTTTCTCATTCAATTTAGAATTTACAAATGTCAAAAAATTGAGAGCTGTCACTTTTGATGAATTTCTGTTTATTACAGATGAAATTGCTAATTTTTGTTTAATAAATGGCGAGCAGTTTTTCATTGGCCATGATTTTCAAGCAAATTGTGAGACGATGTTTTTTGGTTTTGAGAAGGCAATTCAATTTGCAAAAGAAGCCACAGATTTATTTTGCGATGGAACTTTTAAAATTACACCAAAACATTTTCAAAAAGGACAGATGCTAACAATTATGATTTGTGAACCTTCAACAAATCAATATCTACCACTTTTATTTATATTCATGAAAAACCGCACATTTGAATCTTATAAGAAGGCATTTGAATATATTTTTACTGTCAAGGGTATTCAATTTTCAAAGCTAATTCAAATTCATTGTGATTTTGAAAAGGGAATGATAGAGGCACTTCAACAAATTTTCCCTAAAGTCTGTATAATTGGATGCCTATTTCATTTCAAACAAGCTTTACACAGGAAACTTGTAGCACTTTATACAAAAAATTTCAATACTTTACAAAATTCTTTATTTAAGCTATATTCTATTACTCCATTCATGTCTCATGAAGAATTTGTACTTACAATGCATATAATTAATCAAAATAAAGTTGATTCGATCAAAGATTATATTGATTATTTCAACAAAGTTTGGTTGCCGCACTACAATTTAATATCTCAATATAATAATGCAACTGCAATATTCACTAATGATTGCCTCGAGAGTATGCATTCAGAATTTTCTTCGTTAAAACATCCAAACATTTATGAAGCTATTAAGAAGATATCTCAAATCCAATAGTTAGTATGGGTTAGTTGGGTATGGTGGCACTGCGCACCTACTTACCCATTATATGTGAATTTGACACTTTACAAAACCACTAACGTATATTTTACAACACAAACACATACACTAACTTAACCTTAAATATTTACAAAGCCGCCAACCACTTCACTTCACTAACGAACTCATTAATGTAAAAATAAACGTTCTCACTATCGTTCTCACTAACGACTTCACTAATGTTCTCATAAATTTTCCTCAATATCTTCATCATCAGTGTTAACCCTATTGTAGTCATACTTGAAGCCATAAACTTTCTCTAACTTCTTAACGTACAATTTACATAACTTACCTTCGTCATCGTATGGTTTAATGATATAACTATTTCTATCTTATACACAGTCAATGAAAAGTCAACTGGTCTCGGATGTATTTGAAAGAACATGTTATGCCTCAGGAAGGAAGAATAAATGTTTAAATGTATGTTTGTTATATTTTCGATTTGTATGAGTTGCTTTTGTTCTGTCATTACATCCAAATAAAAATAAAATAAAAATAAAATAAAAATAAACTTAAAAATTAATGATATCACCACCCTCACACGTATGAAAACATAGCACAAAAATAAATTTAGGTGAAGTGATGAAAACTCACCTCCTTTTTCACCTCTTTTTCACCCTGGTGAATTCATTGCTTTATAACTCTCTTCCTTTCTCCAACTCTTCTAGCTTCTTCTTAAGTTCAGCAATGTTGTCCTCATGAAGTTTAATCTTTCTCAAAATTCCTTCTTTATCTAATGGTTGCTTTATCTTTCTAAACTGAACTCTACCATCCTTCATAGTATGAATGTAAAAACCTTCGTTGGTGTTCTAGATCTGAAAACAATAGAAATAAAAGCAAGTATGGCGATATAGTTTATGAGTTCGTTGATGAAATATCTGACGAAGCTGTTGAAATAACAGATTATGGTAAGCATTCGTTTGAGTTCTACTACTATGTTGAGAATGAAGACGCATTCTATTATTATACAGGTCTTAACTATCGAAAACTTCATATAAACTTTACAAAAACAGGTGCTGCTTATGTTTGTATGATAGATACAGAAAACAAGAGTGTAATTTTATTCATAAACAAATTCAAACGCTTGTACGGCTTCATGTAGGACAAACATTATTTTTCAACACTAACGCCAACACTTAGGACAAACATTCATGACTAACATTACTGTATAACATAGACACTAACTTCATCGAAACTAAACGTAAATGTTTTGTCATGACTTCATCGTAAATGTTTTGTCATGATTTCATCGTAAATGCTTTGTCGAACTTAAACGTTAATGTTTTCACTGTTACCATGTTACCATGTGCTACCAGGTTAATTAACTTCTCTTAAAAATGATGACAACATGACATTTTGACAACAGTCCAGGAAATAAATTTTATCGTTTATGTTTACGTTAATGTTTTCATTAATGTTTACGTTAATGTTTACGTTTATGTTTACGTTAATGTTTACGTTTATGTTTACATTAATGTTTACGTTTATGTTTACGTTAATGTTTACGTTTATGTTTACGTTAATGTTTTCACTGTTACCATGTTACCATGTGCTACCAGGTTAATTAACTTCTCTTAAAAATGATGACAACATGACATTTAGACAACAGTCCAGGAAATTTGATGCAGTCCAAAAATAAAGTTAGTTTTAAAATTATTTTTATTTTTTTATTCCTATATAAATGACAGCAACAAACAACAACAGCAACTATATCATTTCTGATGAAAAAGTTATTGATTCATTAGCTGAGGAATTAGTTGTGGCAGAAACTAAAACCCTCAACGAAAGAATTGGTGAAAATAAGATTGATTTACATAACTACCTCAAACACGATGGAGGAAGAGGAAGGAAAACTGGTGTGGCTTTATTAGTAAATAAAATTCCAAATTTAACTATTATAGATGTTGATATCAATAAATCGTACAATGATGAACTTAAAGAAACAGTTAGAAAAGACATTCTATCAAAACTTTCGGATAAAGATGTTATCGTTAAAACCGCTTCAGGAGGTCTTCACATTTATTGCAACACTAATTTCTTCTATGCAGTTTCGAACAGAATGATTAAATGCTATTCCTGCAATGATTATGATATTGATATAATGACTTCAATGGATGATTCAAAGCGTTCTTTAGTAGTTATGGCTGATTCAAGAGTTCGCAAGAATGCAACAGAACCAATCAATACATACTCATTCATTCGTGGAAGTTACGATTCAACATTAACTAGAACAGTGAATGATATATTAAATGATTTGAATATTAAGGTAAGAGTTGAACAAAAGAATGAAGAAATAAAGACTATCATGAATGAAAACAAAGATGTAAACATTGACGATAAACTTGCCCAGAGCATAGTTGATGGCATCAGTGATTTTGAAGTACATAATGACGGTGGAAACATGAATTTAGAAAAAGAAATAACATTATTCACACTGTTTCAAGCAATTAATTCGTTACCTAATCATTTGATTAATGAAGCATACGATAACGTTTATAACTTCTGCAGTTTAACAGAAAATGCAAAAAGTAATTTTGAAAAAGCACGTAGTAGATATGCACATTTAATGACTTCTCCATTTGTTTTGGTGAAGATTCTAAAACTATATCAAAAGGAATATTATGATGAATACGTTTTACCTTTATTACGTAAGCCAAAAATAACATTTGATATAAAACTTGATGACTCGTTTTTGATAACAGATATTAGACGCAAGGCTGAAAATCATCGGTATAAAAACAGTTCTGAAGTAATTGAGGATTTATCACGTGTAATCCGTTTTGTAGATTGTGGAAATAAATATTTCATTCAAAAGGACTATAATATCCACGACAAAATGAATCAAATATCATTCGTTCTTCAATCAAACATGAAAGAGTCACTCAAAATGATTAAATTATTTAAAGAAGAAGGTAAAACAATAACAGCATGGGATGTACTACTAAATCAATTATCCCCATTAACCGTTAAGGGTGTTTGCTTTAAATCTGATTCCCCGGATGTTTTCTCAACGTTTCAAGGTTATAAATACAACATTCTCGAAAAGCCTGATTACTCAAAAATTGAGATGTTTATGAATTTCATTAAAGAAGCCATTTGTGATAATAACGATGAAGTGTATAAATACCTACTCGGCTGGATTGCATCAATGATTCAACATCCTGGAATCAAGAATGAAACAGCAATTATTTTGAAAGGACTTCAGGGAACAGGTAAAAACAGATTTACAGACATTATTTCTGAACTTCTCGCCGGTTATTCATGCAAAAACATTACCGAAATAGGTGAGCTAACGGGTAATTTCAATTCAGTAGTTGAGAATAAAATGTTTCTTGTACTTAATGAACTCAAGAATGTAGGTGAAGATAGACTCGCAAACTTCAACGCTTTGAAATCAATTATAACGGATAATGAGATTAGAATTAATGAAAAGAATCAACCCAGAAGAACTGCTCAGAACGTTGCAAACTTCATTTTCGTAACTAATAACGTTTACCCTGTCAAAATTGAAGTTGGAGACAGAAGATACGTGGTTTTAAGAGTTAATGGTAAATTTAAGGGTCAATTTGATTACTTCAAGAATTTAATGGATTCATGCACAAAGGAATTTTATGATAACCTTTTAACATATTTTATGCAATATGACCTTTCATCATTTAATGTACGAATCATTCCGATGACTGAAGCCAAACAAGATTTAATTGAATTATCAACAAATCCTTTAGATGTATGGATAAATACACATTATGATGAATTGTGTGCAGGTATGACGTGTAAAAATGCTCTATTCTGCAAACCATCAGACATGAAAGACAAGAATTTCCAAATGAGTATTAAGGATAAATGTGATAGGAAACATAGAAGAATAGACGGTAAACAAACATGGTGTTATGTTTTGAAAGAAGAAATGAAAGGATTATATAAACAGGTTGAACCAAACGATAATGAGGATTCATTTACTGACGATGAAATACCTGTAAATGAAGCTTTATAAAGTATGATTGGAATTTATTTTTGCATTAATCCTGCTGTGTTGTCAAAATGTCATGTTGTCATCATTTTTAAAAGAAGTTAAATAACCTGGTAGCACATGGTAACATGGTAACACCATCAGTTATTCAAAAATAATTCATAAATGCCTTCCTCCTTTCGTACCTGTTGTCAAAATGTCATGTTGTCATCATTTTTAAAAGAAGTTAAATAACCTGGTAGCACATGGTAACATGGTAACACCATCAGTTATTCAAAAATATATTTTTGGTTAGTCTTCATATGGATATTTTACAACAATTCCCCAATGTATAAACTTTTCATACGCTTTTTCATAAGCTTTATATACCTTCAGAAATTTTGCATAATCTTTAGAAGCATTTAGATATTGTTTAAATGCTTTGTATGTCTTCAGAAATTTTGCATAATCTTTTACATGTTCTTCGTTCTCTTCTTCTGTCATGAGTTCCGAATATTCTAAATTCATGTTCTTTCATATGAGATAAAATTTTATAAAAAAAAAATAAAATTAGCTTAGATTTTTTTATTCTTCCTCTTTGAAGTTGTCGAAACTTCTTCGTATATGTTTTGTCGAAACTTCTTCGTAAACTAAACGTAAATGTTTTGTCATGACTTCATCGTAAACACTTTGTCAAAACTTCATCGTAAATGCTTTGTCGAAACTTCTTCGTATATGTTTTGTTATGATTTCATCGTAAATGTTTTGTCATGATTTCATCGTAAACACTTTGTCAAAACTTCATCATAAACACTTTGTCAAAACTTCATCGTAAATGCTTTGTCGAAACTTCTTCGTATATGTTTTGTTATGATTTCATCGTAAATGTTTTGTCATGATTTCATCGTAAACACTTTGTCAAAACTTCATCATAAACACTTTGTCAAAACTTCATCGTATATGTTTTGTCATGACTTCTTCGTATATGCTTTGTCGAAACTTCTTCGTAAACTAAACGTAAATGTTTTGTCATGACTTCATCGTATATGTTTTGTTATGACTTTGTCATGACTTCATCGTATATGTTTTGTCAAAACTTCATCGAACTTAAACGTAAATGTTTTGTCATGATTTCATCGTATAGGCTTTGTTATGACTTCATCGAACTTAAACGTAAATGTTATGTCGAAACTTCTTCGTAAACACTTTGTCAAAACTTCTTCGTAAACACTTTGTCAAAACTTCTTCGTAAACACTTTGTCAAAACTTCTTCGTAAACACTTTGTCAAAACTTCTTCGTAAACACTTTGTCATGACTTCTTCGTAAATGTTTTGTCGAAACTTCTTCGTAAACACTTTGTCAAAACTTCTTCGTAAACACTTTGTCATGACTTCATCGTAAACTAAACGTAAATGTTTTGTCATGACTTCATCGTAAATGTTTTGTCATGATTTCATCGTATAGGCTTTGTTATGACTTCATCGAACTTAAACGTAAATGTTTTGTCGAAACTTCTTCGTAAACACTTTGTCAAAACTTCTTCGTAAACTAAACGTAAATGTTTTGTCATGACTGCATCGTAAATGTTTTGTCATGATTTCATCGTATAGGCTTTGTCATGATTTCATCGTAAACACTTTGTCAAAACTTCATCGTAAACTAAACGTATATGTTTTGTCATGACTTCATCGTAAATGTTTTGTCAAAACTTCATCGAACTTAAACGTATATGTTTTGTCAAAACTTCATCGTAAACACTTTGTCAAAACTTCATCGTAAACACTTTGTCAAAACTTCATCGTAAACACTTTGTCAAAACTTCTTCGTAAACACTTTGTCATGACTTCATCGTATATGTTTTGTCAAAACTTCATCGAATTTAAACGTATATGTTTTGTCATGATTTCTTCGTATATGTTTTGTTATGATTTCTTCGTAAATGCTTTGTCGAAACTTCATCGTAAACACTTTGTCGAAACTTCTTCGTAAACACTTTGTCAAGACTTCATCGTATATGTTTTGTCAAAACTTCATCGTAAACTAAACGTATATGTTTTGTCAAAACTTCATCGTATATGTTTTGTCAAAACTTCATCGTAAACTAAACGTAAATGTTTTGTTATGACTTCATCGAACTTAAACGTATATGTTTTGTCAAAACTTCATCGAACTTAAACGTATATGTTTTGTCATGATTTCATCGTAAATGTTTTGTTATGACTTCATCGAACTTAAACGTAAATGTTTTGTCGAAACTTCTTCGTAAACACTTTGTCAAAACTTCTTCGTAAACACTTTGTCATGACTTCATCGTATATGTTTTGTCAAAACTTCATCGAATTTAAACGTATATGTTTTGTCATGATTTCTTCGTATATGTTTTGTTATGATTTCTTCGTAAATGCTTTGTCGAAACTTCTTCGTAAACACTTTGTCAAGACTTCATCGTATATGTTTTGTCAAAACTTCATCGTAAACACTTTGTCAAAACTTCATCGTATATGTTTTGTCATGACTTCTTCGTAAATGTTTTGTTATGACTTCTTCGTAAATGTTTTGTCATGACTTCATCGTAAATGTTTTGTTATGACTTCATCGAACTTAAACGTAAATGTTTTGTCGAAACTTCTTCGTAAACACTTTGTCAAAACTTCATCGTATATGTTTTGTCAAAACTTCATCGAACTTAAACGTATATGTTTTGTCAAAACTTCATCGTAAACACTTTGTCAAAACTTCTTCGTAAACACTTTGTCAAAACTTCTTCGTAAACACTTTGTCAAAACTTCTTCGTAAACACTTTGTCATGACTTCATCGTATATGTTTTGTCAAAACTTCATCGTAAACTAAACGTAAATGTTTTGTTATGACTTCATCGTATATGTTTTGTTATGATTTCTTCGTAAATGCTTTGTCGAAACTTCTTCGTAAACACTTTGTCAAGACTTCATCGTATATGTTTTGTCAAAACTTCATCGTAAACTAAACGTAAATGTTTTGTTATGACTTCATCGAACTTAAACGTATATGTTTTGTCAAAACTTCATCGTATATGTTTTGTCAAAACTTCATCGTAAACTAAACGTAAATGTTTTGTTATGACTTCATCGAACTTAAACGTATATGTTTTGTCAAAACTTCATCGAACTTAAACGTATATGTTTTGTCATGATTTCATCGTAAATGTTTTGTTATGACTTCATCGAACTTAAACGTAAATGTTTTGTCGAAACTTCTTCGTAAACACTTTGTCAAAACTTCTTCGTAAACACTTTGTCATGACTTCATCGTATATGTTTTGTCAAAACTTCATCGAATTTAAACGTATATGTTTTGTCATGATTTCATCGTATATGTTTTGTTATGATTTCTTCGTATATGTTTTGTCAAAACTTCATCGTAAACACTTTGTCAAAACTTCATCGTATATGTTTTGTCATGACTTCTTCGTAAATGTTTTGTTATGACTTCTTCGTAAATGTTTTGTCATGACTTCATCGTAAATGTTTTGTTATGACTTCATCGAACTTAAACGTAAATGTTTTGTCGAAACTTCTTCGTAAACACTTTGTCAAAACTTCATCGTATATGTTTTGTCAAAACTTCATCGTAAACACTTTGTCAAAACTTCTTCGTAAACACTTTGTCAAAACTTCTTCGTAAACACTTTGTCAAAACTTCTTCGTAAACACTTTGTCATGACTTCATCGTATATGTTTTGTCAAAACTTCTTCGTAAACACTTTGTCATGACTTCATCGTAAACACTTTGTCAAAACTTCTTCGTAAACACTTTGTCATGACTTCATCGTATATGTTTTGTCAAAACTTCTTCGTAAACACTTTGTCATGACTTCATCGTAAACACTTTGTCAAAACTTCTTCGTAAACACTTTGTCATGACTTCATCGTATATGTTTTGTCAAAACTTCATCGAATTTAAACGTATATGTTTTGTCATGATTTCATCGTATATGTTTTGTTATGATTTCTTCGTATATGTTTTGTCATGACTTCATCGTAAACACTTTGTCAAAACTTCTTCGTAAACACTTTGTCAAAACTTCTTCGTAAACACTTTGTCATGACTTCATCGTATATGTTTTGTCAAAACTTCATCGAATTTAAACGTATATGTTTTGTCATGATTTCATCGTATATGTTTTGTTATGATTTCTTCGTATATGTTTTGTCAAAACTTCATCGTAAACACTTTGTCAAAACTTCTTCGTAAACACTTTGTCATGACTTCATCGTAAACACTTTGTCAAAACTTCTTCGTAAACACTTTGTCATGACTTCATCGTATATGTTTTGTCAAAACTTCATCGAATTTAAACGTATATGTTTTGTTATGATTTCTTCGTAAATGCTTTGTCGAAACTTCTTCGTAAATGTTTTGTCATGACTTCTTCGTAAACACTTTGTCATGACTTCATCGTAAACACTTTGTCAAAACTTCTTCGTAAACACTTTGTCATGACTTCATCGTAAACACTTTGTCATGACTTCATCGTAAACACTTTGTCAAAACTTCTTCGTAAACACTTTGTCATGACTTCATCGTATATGTTTTGTCAAAACTTCTTCGTAAACACTTTGTCATGACTTCATCGTAAACACTTTGTCAAAACTTCTTCGTAAACACTTTGTCATGACTTCATCGTAAACACTTTGTCAAAACTTCTTCGTAAACACTTTGTCATGACTTCATCGTATATGTTTTGTCAAAACTTCATCGAATTTAAACGTATATGTTTTGTCATGATTTCATCGTATATGTTTTGTTATGATTTCTTCGTATATGTTTTGTCATGACTTCATCGTAAACACTTTGTCAAAACTTCTTCATAAACACTTTGTCATGACTTCATCGTAAACACTTTGTCAAAACTTCTTCGTAAACACTTTGTCATGACTTCATCGTATATGTTTTGTCAAAACTTCATCGAATTTAAACGTATATGTTTTGTCATGATTTCATCGTATATGTTTTGTTATGATTTCTTCGTATATGTTTTGTCATGACTTCATCGTAAACACT